CGCTCCACACCACCCGACGACCTACTTCCCAGGGCGCGTCGGGATATATCTCGCACCAGAGGAGTTATACTGTGTATCGGGCGCTAGAGCGAGAGCGCGACCTCCTTCTCACTCTCCTCCTTTTGTGTATATACATTATGTAAAAGAGTACATACACGAAGCTGCAACAACTCGCGTGTACGTAAGCTTGTTTCGGCCGATTTCCCACACACACAGCTTCCCTCTTATCCAGCCCCCCCCCCCCCAATTTTATCGGCTCTCTCTCTCTCTCCCTCTAAATTTCCGCGCACCAATTTCGAACTTCTAATTTTAGACCCCACGTGTCTGTGTGTACCTTGTATATATATATATGGGTTCAAACGCCCCCCCTTTTTTTCAAAGTATCATATCACTATTAAATTTTTTGATTTCTCCCCATACAGCAGAGAGAGAGAGAGAGAGAGAGCATTGGGCATGGATGTACTCGCGGAGAAGAAGAAAAGTGTAAGCTCGACGCAGTTGTCGGCGATTAAAACGTATATGTATATATATGAAGAGAGGGAAGGAAGAAAAAAGCTCGGAGAGAGAATTGCCCTCGGCTTTTCTCTCTGCGTATATAAATCCCGCGCTTTGTTCCCCCACGCCCTCCCCTTTGAGTTGTTGGTGTGTCTATGTATGTATATATGTATGACGTCAGTCGATCATACTCGTTCGGGCGAAAAACGGGCAGCGAACCAGCGAGGCGATAAACGCGTTTATTAAGAACACCGCCCTGTGTTATACATATATATATATATATATACAGGGCCTATGTGCATGGGTATTTGCTTATAAACACGCTTATCGGTTTATCTTTTTCTCGATTTATGTACGTACGGGGAATCTCGAGAAAATGTAATATAAAATACATTTTCTTCCTTACCCTTGCGCTCTCGTAATACTTACACAGCAGTATATAGCTACTTACGGATGTATTTATTTTGTTGCAATTGAGCTGATTTTTTTTTTTTGTTTTTCATTCATTTATCGTTTAAGGGAGCTACAAATGAAAATTGAGGGGTTTAGGGGAATGAAAAAAATAGAGAGAGAGGGCGGACGCAGCGAGAGATTCGATTGTAAATGTTGTGTATACCGAGGAGAGAGAGAGAGAGAGAGTAACGGCGAAAACCGGGACCCCAGGAAATCAATACGGTTGAAAGGCCACCCCACACGCCCCACCCCCTCCCGTGCTCGCTCCCGCTTTTGGTCCTCAAACTTATGTCTTCCCCTTCCCTTCGATTCCATTAAGTATTATTTCTTCTTTTTTCTTTTTTACTCGATGCGTGTGCGTCGTTCCTATACATTTTTTATTCGTGACCGAGTGAAAATCGTTTTAGTAAATAACTAACGAGCAATGTATACACACAATTGACAAAGTACAGATTTGAGACTGCTAATGCAATTTGTAACTGTTATGAATTTTTATTTGGTTTTTTTTTTTTGTTCCAAATGAAAAAAAAAAATTAAAACTTATAATAACTGTTATGAATTAAAGTTAATTGAAACTTATAGCTAAAAATGTCTATCTCTCTCGTTATACTCTTCCA